ACACATACCAAAGCATGCGCACTGCTTTCTTCAGTCAGGTCTCACAAGAATCCTGTGATAGATGTGATTATTTCCTACTCGTTTTCATGCAAAATTAAGTCTTAATGAGACCAAAGAGTACTGAGTTATTAAATGGGACTGCATTCATAATCCCACGCCCAAACCCTTCTAATTAGGATATTCTGAGTTGTTCCGTGTGGCGAGAGAGCCCAGATTTCTTTCTTTTGGTCAGTCCAGATGTGATAAGTCTGTAATACCTGTGTTCCTCAGTTGGCTTTTGGGCCGTAACCAGTTGACACTATTTCAATACAGAGCTTTAAATTAAAATTCAATATTCCATAGCCCAAGGGGAAATGATGCTAATTCCATTTTTAAGAAATTCGTAAGCATTTACACATTACCTTCTTTTTCTTAGGGAGGGCCACAAAGTAATTACTGTGCATGACAGCAAGATAATCGTGGGGTTTCATTTTTATTACCTGAATATTGACTTTTAAGGAAAAAAAACAAAACAGAAAACCTAGGTGAAACATGTGTGATTATCCCTCCCTTTAATTGTTAGATTTTCTTAGTCTTCCCCTTTGTCAAATGACCAGCCTTTTTACTATATGCTCTTGCAAATATATACACTGTTATCAATGATGTTATTTAGAAAATTAAATTAAAAGTACATAAATCTAATAAGTATTAAATAATGAAAAGAAAGAGGCTATGTGGAATAAACAGAAAAACTGACATAAAAAAGATTGATTGTACCTTACTTAGGGTTGGTGTGCAATTAATGATGGTATCATTAATAGCCTTTGAATTCAATCTATTTGAACTTGGTTAGAAGGCAGTAGGGAACTGTTGCAGAGTCTATCATTTGATATTTTAGGACTATAGGTTAACCAATACAATCATGACAATGAAAAAAAAGTTTGAGAATTCAATAAAAATATTACTAAACCCTTGGAACTGGCACACATTTTAAACAAAACAGAGGCAGGTAGATCTCTGAGCTTTGCGCCAGCTTGGTCTACATAGTGAATTCCAGGACAGTCAGGACTATGTAGAAAGACCCTGTCTCAAAAACAAACAAACAAACAAAAATTTACAGCTGGATGCAGTAGCACAAGCCTGTAATTCCAGCACTCAGGCAGGCAGATATCTGTGAGTTCAAGGCCAGTCTGGTCTACATAGTGAGTCCAGGACAGCCTAGGCTACACAGAGAAACCCTGTCTCAAAAAAACCAAAATAAATAAATGGACAAAATAATTAAAAAAAATGTTTTTTACTAAGCCCTGTGCTAAGTAATGAATGACTAAAAATAAAGTATGTTTTTCCACAAGTTCAGGAGAGGCCAGGGCAGATCTGGTCCACAGTAAAGACACAAAGAAATGTGCTAAGTGACCTGAGAGTTGTTTATAGGGCAATCAGAATACAGACAATTATAGCTTGCAAAATCAGAGACGATGACGGATGTAACCATCATGGGTGTGTTCCGAAGAATGTAACAGTTCAAGCTAGTTTAAGAGAGACTAATTGAAAGTCTATGGAATAACCTAGATGGAGGTTGTGGCTAGGACAACTGTGATGGAGTCAGGTGGGGTGCTGTACGACTGCAATGTAACTATAGTGTCTCCACTGACAAAGAGCCTACAGCATTTCCTTATAATCATTTCACTAACTGTGTGTTGACACTTGAATGCTGTTATAAATTTTTCAGCTGTGTTCCAAGGACACGGAAAAAAAGACACAAACTCAAAATGAGTTTCCAGTAACCATGTTCTATAAATTAAATCCAGCTGAAGTTTTAAAATAATGACTACTTCCTCTAGTGGGTCCTCTGCAAATTGTGTTTTTCTGCATTTAAGATTCTAAACCAGTAAGCTCTGCTCTCTCAAGTCACAACCATGTTGACCCTCTTTACCTGTATTAGATAACACATGTAAATGATTATGTCATTAAGGACAAGAGGGGACATTAAATGTGGGAACAGGAAGATCTACAACAAAACTCAAAGAGGAAGAATACAAGCTCCTGTTTTCATTAAAAAACAAAAAACAACAACAAAAAAAAAAAAACAAACCTGAGTAGTCTTGAACATTCAGAGTCTATGTTCTCCTAGGGATAATGAATGATCCTCATGGAAACCAGTCTTCTGTTTGGGAAAACTGTAGTTTATGTTCGTGACAGATAAATTTTCAGGTACAAAGACAGGCTTAGCCTCAAATGACCTGTTGAAAGATTTAAAAGTCAATTAAAAAAACATAACCGTGAGAATGCAGCTCAATGAAATATATGTAAAGTATATATCTTCATGCAAACACTTAAATCTCCATAGAACAGCAGTCTAATTCTTTGAGAAAGTTACTCCTATGAAAAGTAACCACTTCTTAAAGGACTACAACAGAAACTGTAAGTCAAGACTGAGATGAAACGGGATGCCAACTGCTCCAGTGACAGCCTGGGAAGCTTGCTGAGAGAAGATATTCTCAGCTGGACTGAAGCATCTGTTGGAAAGTTGAAAGAAAAAATGAGCACAGTTGGGCGAGGGAACACTTGAGAAGGTACACTTGAGTGAATCTGCTTTTAATCTTAAGGAGAATGGCAGAGTGTCTTTAAACAGTAACATACACAGACAAAAAAAAAAAAACATTTTGATCATATTCACACCCCATTACCTTCTCATTTGAACAACTCCTCCTCTTCCTCATCCTCGTCCTCGTCCTCCTCCTCCTCTTCTTCCTCCTCCTGAACTGGGCCTTTTCTTTTCATGTCATTTTTTTAATGTTTAATCATCTTTGCCTTAAGGTTCACACACAAGACAATTTTATATCCAATTTCAAAATTACCCAATCCATCTGTATGTTCTACTAACTGGAATTCTTTTTTTTTTTTTTTTTCCATTTACAAGAATTTTGCTACAATCCACAAACCCAAAGAAGCTAAGTTACAAGGAGGGTGCAAGGGAGGGTGCTTGAATCTCACTCAGAAGGGAAATTAAAATAGGTGTATGGAAGTTGATGAATGGAGGAAGCTGAGTAGAAGAGGGGAAGGGGAAGGAAGCAGGGTGGGAATTAGGAGTAGGGTGGTGGTGAAAGGAAATCAGAGGTGGGAGACATCTCTGAGATTTGCCAGAGATCTGGAATATGGGAGGCCCCAGAGGTCTCTGGGAGTCACCCTAGCTGAGACTTCCAGCATCAGGGGATTTGGAGCCTAAGTGGCCACCTTATGTAGCCAGGCAGGACTTCCAGTGGAGGGATAAGGATACCAACCGACCCACAAAACCTTCAACCCCAAATTTTTTCCTGCCTACAAGATTGAGGGAATGACCAAAGAAAGGCTGGCCCTACTTGAGACCCATCCCATGGGAGAAAACCAACCCCTGACACTATTAATGTTACTCTGCCATGTTTGCAGACAGGAGCCTAGCATAACTCCTCTGAGAGGCTTCACCCAGCAGCTGATGGAAACAGATGCAGAGACCCACAGCCAAACATTAGACAGAGTTTGGGGAGTCCTATGGAAGAGTTGGGGGAACAATTGAGGGAGCCAGAGGGGTCAAGGATTTCACAAGAAGACCTACAGAGTCAACTGACCTGGGCCCATGGGGGCTCACAGAGACTGAACCACCAACCAAAGAGCATGCTTGGGCTGGTCCTAGGCCACCTGAACACATGTAGCAGATGCACAACTTGCTGTTCATGTGGATCCCCCAACAACTGGAGCAGGGGCCCAATCTGATTCTGATGCCCCCCTTTGGTTCCCATTCTGCTAACTGGGCTGCTTTGTCTGGTGTCAGTGGGAGACGATGTGCCTAGTTCTGCAGTGACTTACTGTGCCAGGGAGGGTTATTACCCATGGGGGACCTCCCCCTTCTGAGGAGGAGAGGAAGAGAGGCTGCAGTCAGGATGCAAAGTGAATAAATAAATTTTTAAATCTTTTTCTGACCCACTGAGTTTAATCAGAGTTGCTTCCATGAGCATGAGTGATGTGTGGGTAAGGCTTTAAGAACAAAGATTAATCAGACTGACTTAGATGTTGTCAGCTTTCAGTGGCAGAGAAATGTAGGAAACGTCCTCCCACCCCTTGTCCCCTCAGTAGAGGATTATATACATCTTTATTTTAAAAGCCTCACCACCTAGGAGATGAAGATGTTGCTAGTAGCGTTGCTGACCTTGCGGATCTTAGCATGTGGGTCCAGTCTCCACTTCTGTGGGAGGGACGTCCTCACTTCAAATCTAAGACTATTCATATTGTGGATTCTGTATCAAAAGTAGGTTTATTCCACTTCTGTTCTTAAAAGCTGCCTCCCACCACACTGCTTTCCGCATCCAGACCCCAACTATGACAATATTTTACTTTTAAGTGATAAAATGTCGACGTGGGTGAACAACGTAGTTTGACTGTCAACTGTGGAGATGTTTCTCTCGCATCACGTATTTATAATTTAACACACAGGGTCTTCTCCCCTCTGAGGTTCCGAGACTGTTGGATGCTATTTTGGTAGTGAGGGCCACACGCAAGTGTGAAGACGAAAGGAAACACAAGGCGAGCAGCGTCTCGTCCGCAGTTTTACCGTGTCGCAGGTGAAGGGTCGCTCGCTGTGCGGGGTGACGGAGGCCACCGAGAAGGCAGGCGGGGAGAGCTCTGGAAAAGAACGAGACAACACCGAGGGGGACACGGTCCTCCACTCTGGACACCTCGTTCAGACGGTCGCCGCTCGCCCCGGACCGCCATCGCCCGCCTAGCGGACAGCAAAGTGGGGTTTGAGCGCCGCGCGTTCCTGGAGTCGGCACCGACGCCCGCGCTCGACGCCCCGCCGGGACCTCCCCCGGCCGCCGAGCCTCCGCGCCCCCACCCACCCCGGGAGCCAGACCCACCACGGCGCGCGGCGGGGAACTACAGCTCCCGGCAGGCCCCGCGCGGGCCGCGCGCCCCCGCCCGCGCGCCCCGGCCCCCCGCCCTCCGGCCTGGAGACGGGACGGGAGGGAGGGCGGGAGGAAGGGGCGCGGGCGGCGGGCGGCGATTGTGCGAGGTGCGTGAAGCCTCGCCGCCTCCTGCTCCGGGACGCGGACGCTGGCGCGCGCGGACTTTCCCCGAAGCGGCCGAGCCCGCCTCTGTAAGTAGTCAGTCAGTCTCCCGAGGGAGAGCGGAGCAGACGCGGAAAAAAGTTCGCGCCGCCGCCGCCGCCGCTTTGTTCTCCCCGACCCGTCGGGCTGAGGTGGCGCGGCCCCTCCCCCACCGCACGCGGCGGCGGCGGCGGCGGCGGCGGCGGGACTCGGACCCGCGCGGGGCTGGGCGGCGGCCGCGGCTGGGCGGGAAGTCGGGGCGGTGCTCCGCGGGCGGCCGGGGGCGCCGGCGCGGCCAAGTTCCGCGCTCCGCGCCGAGGCCAAGTTGGAGTGGCGCGGCTGCGGGCGACCCGCCGCGCCCTGCCCCTCGGGGACCCGCTGTCCCGAACCCCGCACTCTGCTCCGGCCCCGCGGCGCCGCGCGGCGAGCCTCCCCGTTTCTCCGCCGCACTTTCCGTGGGGCTGGCTCTGGAAGGGGCTGAGTATCCGGGGTTTGGAGGACGGTGACCCCAGTTTCCTGACGGCCTCTGGGCTCGCCAGTTGCAGCCCCGCGCCAAGTCGTTCTCCTTCCCCCGAGGTGAGACAGCCGCGGGTGTGGAGCAATAAAAATAATAAGTATACGCGACGCCACTTGATTGCGTGTCGGATATTTTATTTCACACCGTCGGAATCAGAAGTATAGGCCGTGCTGTCTGCGAGCACGAATAGAAATCGGGCGACAGGCGACCTGCAGACTTTTCCGCACTCAGATTGATGGCATGGACGTAACTGTCCCTTCAACCACGCCCGTCCCCACAGGAAATAAGACTATCGGTGTCATCTCTGATTAAAGAGGTTAAGTTACAACTCGATGTACTACTTTGTAGGACAGGGCCTTTAAAACCTGTAGGTACAAAAGAAACAGAAACTTTGAGATCCCTTCATCTGTAACCCAGAAAAACGCTGTTACACTACGAAATGCTTTTACTTTATACCTAAGGTTCAGTGGTAGCAGTTTTGATTTTTGTTCAACTCACGCTTAAACTTTTAATGCCAAGAGGATATGCAAGCATACGGATTCGCATCAAGAAGGCTTCCTTGAAGTTCCATGACTCAGTTCTAAGTAAGGGCTGCTCTATATAGGAACACTTTCCCCCCCATCCCGCTTATAATCTGGGATGAGGTAAAACAATTTAGCTGCCGAGTTGATTCAAGTTTTTGTAAGTGTTATTTTAAAATGTCTCACAGGAACCTTCACAGTAGGTTTTGCCTCATACGGTAGTATAAATGTCATGGGCCTGAGAACATGAGTTTGGAGTCCTTTTTGATACACCAGGACAGTTCACATCTCAGGGGTGTGAAAATTAAAAGAATTTTTCTTAACCATGTTTGACAGTTTGATAATTCTGATCACACTCACCATCAGCCCCACTCTCCCTCATACCCTTCGTACCCTTAAAGACTTTTTCCAGGAGGAGCCTTTAATCTTGCACATCCTATATAAGCTTTCTATTTTATCAGATGACCTGTTTAGAATAGACATTTCTTTATGTTTGTGCATTGTTTCTCTAAACACTGCTACACACACCAAAAACCCCAATGTATTCTAAAAGTTAGAAAGTTGAAAATACCTATACAGTAGAAATGGAGGGAAAGATGTTAGAAGTGCACTTTTCACAGAAGGGACATTTTTCAAGAAAATTTTCAACAAACTTCTAAAGTTGGCAAAAATATTAACTGTAGTTGAGCTCATTGCTTGTTTTTAAAAGAAACTTGCTCAGAATTTGATGTATGAAAATAGTTACTTATATATAATTTGAGTAGGCACATAGTTTGGATTTAATAATCATATCTCTTTTTTGAGTTTTTCGGGTTATATAATTCACACTGAGCTTGCCTCTTTGAAGCAGTCATTTTAAAAAGGAAAAAATAGGATATGGTACTTAAGAGCTGTTTTAGTTTTACTTTCAGTGTAGATAAAAAGTTCTCTTCGCTTGTGTAGTTATGTTATAGTGGCCATATGTGGGAAGTGCTCATTGGCAATTGGCCAATCAGATTTCTTAGAAACTACTGGTGCAGAGTTGAAGCTATCATAGCTTCATAGTGCTTTGCCAGATGATGCTCTAAAATCTAGATATACTTCTCAGTGTCTGCGCAAGAGAACCTTCTTGGTGTGCCCTCTCTGTGTTCTCCCTGACCGTGGAAGGACTGAGATGTCACTGGCCCAGATGAGTAGATTAGAGGGAACAATTTAGTGGAGTGCTGAGCTCTTAGAAAGACAGTCTGATATTAATCTGAGGGGATAGTCAGGTTTCTGAAATGAGGGAGACTGCCGCAGATTGTGATTAAAAAAAAAACTACACAAATAAGTAAGTTTGTGCACAATATACAAGCATTAAGCAAAATCAGACCTGTGTTGAGGTAAAATATGGCTATTGAGTTCAGTGTACTAGTTAGCAATGTCACTGAAAAAGCTCACGTGCTTTTTACAATACATACCACATACATGTGTGTATGTGCATGAGAGTCAGGATAAAACCTCATTCTTTATCAGCATTCCTTACACATGATGCTCCATTAAGCCAGGGCAGCTCTTTGCTGGTGGGAGTCAGGTAAATATACTATTACAAAAGAAAAACATTTTTTTTTCTCTTTAACATTTGATGAATGCAGAAAGAAGTGCTGGCTAGCCTAAAGAACGAGAGCTCCCTTTGAAGTATTCAATTTGTCTTGTTTTCAGGAATCCTCTTATTTCCTTGCTTCTTCAGAAAGACCTTCCCTGAGACCCAACTGAAATTAACTCTCCCTGGCGTATACTCCGTTGTCTGTCACGTAGTTTGTAATTACCTAGCTGCTTATGTAGATGTTTGTTTACTGTCGGTGAGTCCCAGAGAAAGCTGCAGTCATGTCTCTTTCTGCTGCTGCTGTGTAACTTTGGTGACACTCTTAGCAGTCTGGCAAATACTGAGTGTTCTGTAAATGTACACTGAAGGAAACCCCTGCTGGTGGGACTTCTCACTGGAGCCTAGGTTGAGGTGGGAGCATAATGTGTTGTGATGAGGTGACTGAACGGGAAAGCAGGTAGAACAGCTGTGACCTTACCATGAAGTTATAACTCAGCCAAGTCACCTAGTGTTTGATGTTGTCTATACTAAATGGGTACACTGAGCTCAAAATACCTTTTGATTCTATTCAGTGGTGATAGGATTTGTAAGTTCATTTGAATGAGATGTGTGACAGTTCTCTAAAAGACTGTTTGAAGAATGCCAACTAAACTGTTGTAACTAGACAGTACTGTCCTGGTTTGGAAACTCTCGTAGCTATTAGAAACAGCATATCAAATCAATATACCATTTATAAATTAACAAGGTGTAGTATTTATTAACTTATAAACTCTATTTTCTATTTGAAGCATTAAATAAAAAGAAATTAAACAGCTTACCAAAGTTCGTGTAAATTAGAATTGTTATATTTATTGCAGATCAAATCAAGATCCCATAAACAAAACCAGGAGAGAGAAAACAGATGGGATGAGTGGGTGTGAGCTGTTAAAACAGGTTCTTATATTTGCATTCATGCCGAAAGTTTAAAAATTCACTTTTATACAAAATTATATATAGTTTATTAGGAGTTCATGTCACTAGTAAATTAGTCAAGTGTGTGATTAGACTGTTACTGTTAATGAGTTAATATCAAGTGGGACAATAAAATGTGCATTCTGTCGGCAGGTATCTTTTATCTAATTGCTGGAAGACTTGTGAGTGGTCTGAGTACTTACAGGAAGCCAGGTGCTGTTAGTAGCGCCTCCCCGCAGGGGCTGGGGACCCACATAGCCAGCAAGCCGCGCCTGCCATTTTCCTTGCACTTCTCTGCAGTAGTACTGAATACAATCAGTTCTCCTGTAAAGACTCCTCAGATATTCGAGAACCACTCATTCTGTTTGGTGTTCTTAATCACATGCGTATAGCACACCCCATTGTTCTCGCCATTACCTGGATGTATGCATTTTTTTTCTTCACAAACCTAAAAATCTAACTCTAAGCATATGGATTGTGGAATAAACATAACAGTAATATAGACTAATGGGTATGGAGATTAATGCTCTGCTCATGGCTTTCTAATGTCCAGAGGATTTAGGTTTATATTAGTTCTTTTGGTTAATCCATTATATTCATAGCACTTATCTGAAGCCTTGAAAACGTAGCCCACCCTCATGAATGGCCCCCAAATCAGTGTCTCCCCATTCTTCCGTTGCACATTTAGCTTTGAATTTATCTGTTAAGTTTCACTTTAGTTTTGTTCTATTTGCTCATTTTTGTTCAACCTGAAGATTATATAAGCAGATCTTCTTTGTCCTAATCTCTTATCTAATGAAAATACAGGGCTAAGAGTGGTTTGGGGACCTTTCCCTAAGGACTTTACTCATGTCAGTTGACATACAGCAAATTTTCTTACTACATTGATGATATCCAACTCAAACTCACACATCCTATTTATAAAGATAGTGGGGAAATGTTGTTAAAATTATTTTTGTAAGACCATAATAGTCTTGAGAAAGTAACCTCTAAACATTTGCTCAACTCTTAACGTGTGGTTGTGAGGATTAATGAGGCAGTATGTGGTGTTTAGATTGATGTCTGTCAGCTAGTAAGAGCTCGGTGAAGGTTAGTGCTCATTTCCTCTACCTGAGAAGTCTAGCGACAGTCGTTATGAAGTTGTTAGTGTAGTGCATCTGCCATTTCTTGTTCAGTTTGAATTTAGGCTGACAATGTAATCATTATACTAGTCTCTAGTCGTTTACAAGTCATTTGAATATGTCTCTTCTCAGATCTGGCTAAGGATTTTCTTTACCTTTTTTTAAAAAAATGATTTTTTTATTTTTAGTTTATTTGCATTGTGTTTTGCCTGAAAGTATGTCTGTGGGAGAGTATCAGATCCCCTGAAACTGTAGTTACAGACAGCTGTGATCTCTCATGTGGGTGCTAGCTGGGAATTGAACCTGGGTTCATTAGGAAGAACAGCTGGTGCTCTTAACCTCTGAGCCATCTCTTCAGCGGGCGGCTAAGGATGTTTTAAGTGTCTTTGGTAGTTTCCGAATTGTGCTTACCATGGCTTTAAACTTGAGAATTGTTGGGAGAAGATAAGCAAGATACAAACTGAGCAATTCTTTCTCTGTAATCTCTCACCCATAGCAACATCCTCTTAGAACAGTGATTCTCACTCCCCTGTTGTCTTTAAGAAGCAGTAGTCATTGTGGAAGCAGCACTGGTAAGAAAGCGCAAGACTTAGGTTCTAATTCCCATTCTGTTTGTTCATAGCCATATCATACTAGGCACATTGCTCTGTCACTCTGTGATTTGGTCTTCTCCTCTGCAAAAATGCTATTTCCCTCTTAATCTCAAAAAGCACTATGAGACATATTAGTGAAACATTACTATCAAATGCTATAAAATAGGAGATTGAGTTCTAGCTATTTGCCTAAATGTTGCTATCAGTGCTTGTATCTTTAAAAGTTATTTTTAGACTCATTTTTTTCTGAATTTTCTCGTTTGTATTAATGTTTCTATATGGTTTTGTTCTTCCATCATTTATTTTAGTTTAACTCCATATACTAGTCCCCACTCTACACACACTTTGGGTGCTTTGATTTTTCATCATATTAATTATTTATGCTACAAAGAATTTTAAAAACTTCTCTTGTGAGCTCTTTCATTCAGCCATGAAGGGTCATGCCTTTCTCTCTTTTTTTTTTTTTTTTTAATTTTCTGCACTGTGTTTTCCTAAAAACTATGATGCCTAGTTTACTATACATGGTATACTTTTTCCTAATGCTAGAAATCCCTTAACCATGAGCTCACTTTCTCCTGTGTTTCATTAGTCTATCAACTGTCACAGCTCCTCGTTGACTCTGAAGTGTCCCCTTTTGTTTCTTTAGGCTTCCGGAAAGTATTTGTCAACAAAGCAGCCCAGGGCTCCTATTTTGGAGACTCTGCCTCCTTTAGAGGGTTGGAAGTACTGGGGATTGAATGTAGGTGTGTGTCCTTACTGATGAGCTATATTCTCACTAGACTTAATATATAAAAGCATAAAAGACTACATTAGCTTTCATATGTTTGGAAATTATTTTGTATTTTTATATGGATAGGTTTGTGAGCATTTTCTGTCTATAATTTTTGTTTTACTTTTCCTGTTTTTTCCTCATCTATCTCAGTTTCTTATCATAATTGAATTGTGTACTTGTAGAATAACAGTGTTTGATTTTCATAAATTTAATATGCAATAAATTACAGCTGGGTGCAATGATGTTTTAGTCTCAACTACGTGGGAGGCTGAGACAGAAGGATCTTAGAGCCCAGGAGTTCAACACCAGTCTGGCCAACATAGTGAAATCCTCTCTCCAAAAAAGAACAACATAGTATTTAACCTACTGTCCCTGCTCCCATCTCCTCCCTTCTCCATCCACCCAGCCAGGGTTCAGGAATTAGAGATGAAGGACAGGGCTATTATTTTAAGTGGGAATCCCTCACCGAAATTATAACTGTAGTAAAAAATATTGTGCTAACTAAAAAAAAAAAAAAAAAAAAAAAGACCACCATTAGGCATTAGGTTGTATTCATGAATTGTAAATATACCACCAGAACTTATTACTAAAAATTACAGGGACTTTTACGTTTTAAACTGATGTCAAATGAATATAAAACATTAAAACCCTTTTAAAATTTTCTTCTAGGTTGACAGCATTTCAGAAGGCGCCAACTTTCTCTGTGGACCCATTCATCAAAAGAAATAATGCTTGTATTATTTTTAAAAGATTTCTACTTCGTCAGAGGGAAGTTCACCCCGCCAAGATGGAAATGAATACATACAAGAGGGTGATTTAAGGTGTGACCATTTGTGGTGTCCCATCAATCCCTGAAGGAATAGATTATCTGAAACTACTTTTAATCAGGAAGATTTTATATCTTGACACAAAGCGACTGTATTCAGTTTGTATTTTCTGAAATGAAAAGCAAAAGTCAAGAACAGATTTAAATGAAGATGTTTCATAAATAATCAGTATCAACTCTCTTCTTAAGATGATAATGTTGATGTGAAGTTACAGATCTGGCTGTGCTCCCAAGACAAGATTCTTGATGGAACTGATGGTGAGAGCAATAGGGCCTTTTGTGCATTCATCTCACGGCGACAGAATTTGTCATCCCTGCCAGCTTTCATCTAATTTGGGAAGTACAGTCTTTTTTTTAAATGTTGTTATTTTGAAAACTTCTTCAAAACCATTTTAAAAGAATTGACAACTATTTTTATAGACTAAAGAAAGGCAGATGTCTGCAAATAATTCCCCTCCATCAGCCCAGAAGTCTGTGTTACCTGCAACTGTTTCTGCTGTGCTTCCAACACCTTCTCCGTGTTCAAGTCCCAAGACAGGACTCTCAGCTCGGCTCTCTAATGGCAGTTTCAGTGCCCCGTCACTCACGAACTCTAGAGGCTCAGTGCATACTATTTCATTTCTACTTCAGATTGGCCTCACACGAGAGAGCGTTACCATCGAAGCCCAGGAGCTGTCTTTGTCCGCTGTCAAAGACCTCGTGTGTTCCATTGTCTATCAGAAGGTACTGTGCAGGCTATTTATATCAATAGGTTTTTTCTAATTAATATTGTTTCTCACACATCTCTATAAATTATGCATGAAACGATGAAATAACACATTTGGATTCATCAGTAATTTATGTCCTGATTATGAGCATTCGGGGCAGTGTTCTGATAGATTGTGAGCCAAAAAGTCTGAAGTTTCAATATCTAAATAAAGAGACCATACATCCCAATTTAAAAATATCACTTATCCCAAAAATAGTGTCTTTATAGTCCAGGGATTATCAGACATTTCATTTAATTTCAGACAAAAAGGTGAGAGTTTAAAGGGCATAAGACATTTAGGGAACTTACTAGAAAGGTGGGACACCATTGAAGCTGAACCCAATATCCACCTGAACTTTGAGCTTTCCAGGTGTCCTTTGCTTGACTCATTTATATCCTTGCCTTCTCTTGGGATGCTGATAATTTCTCATAGAGGCCCTTGAGAAACCACCTAGACTACCATTTAACATAGAAGCACACTCTCTCTCCCTCTTAAACAGGTAAATCAATTTTGAATATATGACAGATTGTTCAAGAATATTATTTTTTGTATTGCCCTATCCTGTACTATTTTTTTAATGAATGTTGGCTTAGTGGGTAAGATATGGATACTAATATTTTCTACTTATGAATTATCTATATGGATTATATTTTGTTTTATTTTTAATGGACAACTGCTTGCTTCAAACAAACTTGTAGAATCTCTGTATGCAAAAAAAAAAAAATCTCTTGGCTGTGTAAGTGTCACAGTTTATAAAATACTTGCTTCACAAGCATGAGGCCCTAATTTTAGACCCCCATAGTACCCACTTAAAAGCTCAGCCCAGCCGTGTGCACCTGTAGTCCCAGTGCTAGGGAGGCGGAGACCCGCCAGCAGTGATGGTAAAAGCACTGAGTTCCAGGTTCACTGAGAGCCCGTGCCTCAAACAGTGAGGTGAAGAATGACTGAGGAAGATAAGCAAAGCCAACCCTTGGCCTACGTAAACACACAGGCACATACGGCACAGAAGTGTACACACAGAGATGTATGCAGCCTCTCAGTGAGATTGATAACTGATTTTCAGCTCTTCATCTTTTGTTTTCCTTCCTATGTTTTATACAGTTTGAAAGTAGTTAGCAGTGCAAAAGCATGATAGTTTGTAATAATGGCCTATGGGCTGTGTTTTAACGGTGACTTACTGCTGTGAATATGGCCTAAAGAGTAACTATGGATCTTCAGAGTTGATTGTTTCCTTGTGGGGGTTTTACTATGGCCCAGGCTGCTCTTGGACTCTGGTTCTCCTGCCTCAGTACTCATTGGTTAGGACTACAGACACAGACCACCTTGTCCAGAACTACTTTTCATTATCTTCAGGTTTTATTTCCATTTCATTATATACTACATAAGTTTTTCACAAATACTTTTGTAGCTGTTTTTTAACTTTTTTAACGTGGAGGTAATGTTTAAACTTACGTAAAACTTCTTTTGAGAGCATAAGAATTCATGACCTATATTTTTGTGAAATCTATTCTTCCTTTTTCAACTTTTAGAATTTTTACTTTTTGTTTTTTAAGTGATAAAAATATGTGTATGTATATATATTTACCATGTACAGAATATTAAAATATGGATACATTGTAAAATGGCTAAATGAGCTGATTAACTCGACTTATTTCTGATTATTTACTTGGATAAATTCATTTACTTCTCATATTTATACAAAGTCATACTGATTCTCTATAGGATTGTTATAGAATCGGCTCTATTATTTATCTACAATATGACTTTGAGCAAGTGATTTTACTTCTTTGAATAAGTTTCCAGATCTGTCAAATTACTGAGTTGGTGTAGTTTCTAGTCTCTAGTTATAGCTGTGAGATTTGGGTCTTTTTTACAGGAGACAGATAAATGAGAACAGAGTGTTGAGTGGGAGATGAGAAATCTTAAGGTACCAGCTTAGATTCTGGGATTTTATAAACATGTTCATGGATCCCTAACTTACTTTAGATTTGAAAAAGCTGTGTCAAAATTTCTAAGCTTCTATCTTGTCTTAGAGATCTTGCTTTCTAGCCATTCATTTAGTTTCTTGTGTATATAAAGTTTCAGGTTCTGAAATAATTAGTTGGGTGGTACTTGAGTGATTTATATACAGGTATATAATGCTCATAACTTGGGTGCCAGATTATCTTTTAGGTTAGTAGAGGTGACAATTCCTCTGTAAATAAATGCTTTAAGATTTTTAAAATAGTAAGGTTGCCTACATTAATAATTATAGCTGCCATTTAGTTCACCAGATTCTGTTCTAGCCTCTTTGTACATAATCTATTAATTTTTCACAGCTTTACTATGTATGGGGTCACCGTAGTTACTACAAAGGAAATAGAAGCACAGAAAACTTAAGTTACTTTCCAAAGCCTATGATAGTAAGAATTCAGAGCTTCCATTTTTAACTGTTGTGCTCTGGACAGCTGCTTTGATTTTTTCCATTAGCAATTATTGTTCATTTGTGAAATGCCTTCCAGTTAAAGTGACTGTACATTCAGTAACTGTAGAATCCAGTTCCCTTGAAGCTAACTGCCCTTGTGTGTACGGAGGTCTGTATAACAAACTGAAGTAAATGGTTTCATAGTAGCTGATATTTAAAACTCTAGAAAGGTGACTGCCTCTTGATGTATTTATTTGGGTGGTTTAATCTAATGGGCATACTTGCTCTTCTAGTTTCTATTCTTGATAGACTCACTTATGTAGAACCTTCTAAAAATAGATCACTAGTTACATTCTCAGGATTAGATGGACCAGACATTGTCCCTACCCTTAAGAGCTTACAGTCTAGTGAGGGAAGCATGTTCACTAGTATCAAATTTGCGAAGTAGCATGGGATGTTGGAGTAAAAAGTGTTCTTTGCAGGCTGATGAAGAATGTAGAAAGCTGAAGCCATACAGAAAATAATATTAAGCCTGGAATTCTGCTAACAGAATGAGGATGTGAGAAAGGTATTCCAGACAGAAGGATTGGGATAAGCAAGGACAGGGGAAGGAAGCATGGTAGGTGTTGGGGCTAGATAGATATCTCAGCAGTTGTGAGAGTATACTGTTCTTCCAAAGGACCCAAGTTTGATTCCCAGCACCACATCGGGTGGATCACTACCGCCTGTGACTCCAGCTCTAGGGAATCTGGTGTCTCTGGTTTCTGTGGACACCCTACACACATGGCTTACACCGTACAGACTCACATACATGATCAAAATAAGATTCCAATGTGGGTGCTAGGAACTAAACCTGGGTTCTCTCGGAAGAACAGCAAGTGCTCTTAACCACAGAGCCATATTCTCAGCCCCTAAATAATATTTTTTAAAGACATTTGAGATGCAATATACCTGTAATAAAGTATCACTTTTAAGTTCATGAGCTTGATCAGTTTCAGCAGTTGCATACAGTTACATAACTCCTCACACTCAAGATATAAATAATTCCTGTCACCCTAGATATTTTCTTGCACTTCTGGAATCCCTTCCCTCAGTTTCTGGCCCCAAGCAATAACTACTCTACATTCTTTGACCATAACTTTAAACTTTTCTAGGTGTTCTTATAGATAAGTGAGATAATCTATGTGGTGTTTTGGTTTTGTTTTCCCTCACATAGCAATATTTTTAAAATTAATCTTTTATTTCTATGGTTTTTTATTATATTGTGGACTTAGTCTATTGTATTAGCTGTGCCTTAATTTCTTTGTTCATTGATGTACAATAGAATTGTTTGCAATTTTGGTGGTAACGAGTAAAACTGTTCTCAGTCTTCTCACACAGTTTCAATTACAACATGTAAAAATATGTTGGCTTTTGTATGTCTACTTAGAAGTATAATGGCCAGGTAATTTGATGGGTCTGTGTTTGTGACATCCTACCAAACTGATTTTCAAAGGTAGCTGTACACTTTCCCAACCAACAAGCTCCATATCTTTGCTCACACTTGATGATCAGCAGCCTTTTTTAAATTAATTATTTGTTAATTACAGTTTATTCATTTTGTATCCTAGCTGTAGCCCCTTCCCTTGTGCCCTCCCAATCCTACTCTTCCTCACTCTTCTCCTCCCATGTCCCTCCTCTAGTCCACCAATAGAGGCAGTCCTCCTTCCCTTCCATCTGACCCTAGCCTATCAGGTCTTATCAGGACTGGCTGCATTGTCTTTCTCTGTGGCTTGGTAAGGGGGGTGGGGAGCAGTGGTCAAAGAGCCAGCCATTGAGTTCATGTCAGAGACAGTCCCTGTTCCCCTTACTAGGGTACCCACTTGACACTAAGCTGCCATGGGCTAAATCTGTGCAGGGGTTCTAGGTTATCTCCATGAATGGTCGTCGGTTGGAATATCAGTCTCAGAAAAGACCCCTGGGCCCAGATTTTTTTGGTTCTGTTGCTCTCCTTGTGGAGCTCCTGTTCCCTCCAGGTCTTTCATCTTCCCGTTCTTTCATAAGATTCCCTGCACTTTGCCCAAAGTTTGGCTATGAGTCTCAGCATCTGCTTTGATACCCTGCTGCATAGAGTCTTTCTGAGGCCCTCTGTGGTAGGCTCCTGTCCTATTCCCTGTTTTCTCCTGCTTCCAATGTCTATCCCATTTGCCTTTCTGAGTGAGGATTGAGCATCTTATCCAGGATCCTCCTTCTTGCTTAGCTTCTTTAGGTGTACAGATTTTAATATGTTTTAATATGTTTATCCTATATTATATGTCTAATACCCACTTATAAGTGAGTATATACCATGTGTGTCTTTCTGCTTCTGGGATACCTCACTCAGGATGATTTTTTTTTTTTTTTAGTTCCCTCCATTTGCCTGCAAATGTCATGATTTCCTTGTTTTTAATTGCTGAATAGCATTCCATTGTGTAAATGTACCACAATTTCTGCATCTATTCCTCGACTGAAGAATGTCTGGGTTTCCAGCTTCTGGCTATCACTAATAAAGCTGCTACGAACATGGTTGAGCAAATGTCCTTGTTGTATAC